GATCATTATTATTAGGAGGATCATTTATTTCTATATTAGTAGACATTTCTAATAACAGTAACCTTTTGCTGCAAAATATCTACAAATAAAAATTCCCTTTTCCTAAAATACATGAAATTATTTTTATAAAAATCAAAATAATTACATTTACACAAGTTAAAATTATGGTTCACAACATATATGCAACAAGAAAAGTACTTACTATACAGATATGTGTTATTTTTTATAGGTTATACAGATTCTACAATGATAATTATCATTTATTATATCACGTGCACCTTTTTAAGTATATTTGCAATGCTTTCGTCAGTAAAATTTAATGATCAGACCAGGGATGCTATATTAAGGGATGTTCCCTCTTCTCATTCTGTCCCAACTGTCCCAACAGTCCCAACTACCACCAACTACTATATGTCGTCCTGTCCTGTGTATGCTCAGTATGTCCTCCACACTTAAGTTTACCCATGGACATGCTTCTCTGACCTTGGACAGTTGGATGTTTGTTTTGCCGGTTCTGGCGGTTCTGGCCAATTCGTAATTTTTTCTTTATTACATTGCTTTATCTTTATATTAAATTCTAACATTTGATAATAAAATAAGGGCCAAACTTCCGATAATCCCATGTTTCGATTTAGCTGAAATTTTGGAAATAGGTTCTTTTCTAATAAAAATAATGATTGCGAAAAGGATTTTTGGTCACTTGAAAGAAAAATTTGTACCATTTCAGAGTCATTTCCTGTGTTACCGACACAGTGGAAATATTTCTCTTTTTCGGTACTTTACTTTAACGTTTTCATGGAAATCAAAAAATAACATACTTAGCATCTTATAATTTTGTCCATATGTCGGTGTGTTTGAATTGAAATATTTTTAAATATTATATTTGCTTGCGTGTAGCTCGTTTGAATTTGTATATCTCTATACTAAGTTTGAGAAGTGTTAGATGGTGCTACGATCGCATTTAAAACTGCGGCAAAGAAATACGTATAATTTGAATATTATTTACGAGTATTACGTATCCATATTATTGATTTAAATATATTGGAAATATTCGTCTTTATTAATTTTTATGCAATGAGGTATATGTTACACCTGCATGTCAACGTTACCGTCAATTATTGCATCGCGATCACAACATAATATCCATACTACTATAGTTCTCCTTGAAAAATTAATCAGGGAAGTGTTTACGATAGTACCTGGAAAAAAATGAGTGGAAGAGAGAGAACATTATTGGTTGCTCCATTATTCGCTAATTTCTAATTTCTTACGATTGCGTATCGTACATACTATGTATGGTGTATGTATGTACATACATACGTATAACGACTAGGAAGAGATTAAGTTCTTCGTTGCAGTTACTTTCTTGGTATTTAAATCCGAATTTTATCATTAACTCGAACTAATTTTCTAACCGCGTTTATTGCTTCATCAGCTTGAAATTGCTTTCATCGACAACTACGTATTACCTCATTAACGCGAGATTCTCTTTTTATGATACAAATTTACAGAAACGGTAACTAAAAACGTCTGATGGACTACGTAGAGACATTAAAATGAACCTGTTTGGACCGTAAAATCATGTATGCTCATTTTCGAAATACTGAAGCCGAGTAATGAACGGTTGAAGCAATTCGCAGGAAGGCTCATGCCAGAGTTTCTCGATGGCTCTGGTTGGAAATGCGAATCATGAAATTCATGCTACCGCGAGTAATTATTCAAAAACACCGTTTATTAACCCGTTTCGGTCAAAAAACGCGAATCATTTTTCTGCCTTTTAATCGACGTTAATCGCGAGTGCCCCGTGTCGATCTTCCTCATCTCGCCAGCCTCGAAACTGTCAATTAACGCTGCAGATTGAGAGATTCGTTTATGGTTTAATACCGAATCCAGACAAATTGAAGCATTCACGTAAAACCCAGAAGCTTCGTCGATTTACGTTTACGGCGGCTCTTCATCGCGTCGTTATCACGCTTCGACCGGAAACTGGTAGCCGGAGACACGAAATTCACGCGAGACACGCAACGACCGTTTAACTTATAGGAGAAAATTAACCGAGGAGCCTAATCTTGTCCGATGTCTATCTTTATCCTTCTTTTCCGGCAACGTTTAACCACAATGCGGAATGAAATTAGTGGTCCTCTCGTGGAACGACGTATTATGATACATCCGACTTGGCGACTTCGTTAACCGTCGCGTCTCACTGGTTAACATAGTTAGAAGATATCTCGACTTCCTTCGCGACAATTCGTAAACCATAAAGGCGACCGAATGCAACGCGGGATGAAAGAGAAGATAAGGGGTATGATGGTTAAAAAGACGGCGATTAGTCAAGCGAAATCGTCCATCACGTCTGGACATACGAGGAACATATGCGGACTACTAGCTTTTGCAGCACCTCTCGAAATAGAGAGGGGGAGAGAGAGATAAAGAGACGTCGTGCACGATGGAACGAGATCGAGGGATGGAAGAGAGGGAGACCGAAAGTACAGAGTTGTTCTTTTCGAGCTAACCGCCTACTTAATTAAAACAACATTAAGCCGGCCGGCTTGCGCCGTTTCACGGCGCTCCTTTCCATGGACCGTGCAACGGATAGACGAACCGCGAAACACTAGAAAGGAGATTACGGTGGGAGGAGGGAACGCAGACGTCGAGCCTCGTCCGCGTCGTAGCTGTTAAATCTCGGTTGTAACCACTCCCGCGTCGCCTCATAAACTACGTTCCTTATTAAATTATCTAGATTTCGATGTACCGTCCCGCGTATCATGCTGCCACCATCATGCAACCTCGCCGGTTGTCCTCGGCTGGCCAATCGTACATCTCTCCTCGCTGGAAATAGCTGGGATTATTACTTTTAAGTTAAGTCCTTCTGCTCCCGGTGGGCACGTCAGCCTTGAGAGATTATTACCTCGAACTATTTACTCCACTTTGAGTTCATCTCGAGAGGACGTATTCAAGAGAAGTCCATGTGGATTAATCTTATTCCAGGAACTATTACCAACAGGCGACGTGATCGTTTGACAGATATTAAAATCCCGTCGTTATCTGTTCCACGATATTTTTTGTACAGTGTTCGCAAGAAGGTCCGGATGCAAAAGTAACGATTTTATCGATCTACTCAACTTGGCAACAATTCGTCGAGCAGCGTTCAACAACGGGAGGCTTCTATCATGTGTTAAGTACATAGTAGATATATCGTGCGATATGTTTATTGGAACAGATCTGTTGAGCCAATTTACCGCGTCTACAAACCGTCCGTTGTCACTTATTTGGCAACGAGACGATATCAGTCTAGTCAATAGTTAGTCACGAATAGTTATATGCATATTATTAGAATGTAACTACGCTTTTATCGTCAATTTCGGAATGGGACAAGTCTTCTTCGGTGAGAGTGCAGGCAGACTGACAATGACAGATTTCGAAAAAAAGAAGGATGAAGATACACGAGAAGAGAGTATCGCGACCGGTAATAAAGTAATGGACACGGTGGCTGGAAATAACAACTTGCCACAACACGCTAACCAATTAAATACAAAAATACGAGGCACGCCACGCCACGCGGCGGTGGCAACAGTTCTTCAGCGTCATATATTTTTACGCGTTTGCAGATTTTGCGATCTTTTTTTCGTCCTTAAATAACTACGAATTAGATGATTCGATCCCTTAATTCGTAGCTGTACATATAAGTGCCATTTTCTCGGTTTACGACGATCACGGTTGTCCACACTGACTAATTCATCTCCAATGGGTGGTATCAAGTGCATCGACAGTAGATAGTCGCGTTTAATTTAATCCAGTATCGGGTGTCATGAGAAAAGTATGTACTCACTAGGACTAGAGGTGAAACTAATTCGGAGTAGACACGCGCACACAGTCCCGCAATCGGACGTGAAAACACGCAACCACGCGCTAGCCAATTAAGTGCAATGCCGAAGACGAAAGGGTGAGAAATGTCCGTGACACTTAGCAGTCTTAAGTAGCAAGATTTAGGAGCGACAGGTGCACCGATAACATCCTCTCGCCTCGTTCATCCTTCCCTCCTTCGTCGCTGGTTTTCCACTCGCGGCCGCGGCAGCGCGCCTTGAAGGAAAAATACGAGGACAGCCTCGGCTTTTTGGCCAGCGACCGGCTGCGTATTAATAATAACCGCTTGATGCTGCGCCAACTGTCCGATGTGGCGTTCCGCTCATTTTACCGAAACGCCGTAAATTCGCGAAGAGAAATTCACGACGAGTTGTGCGCGCCGAGCGAAAATCTAATCGAGTGCAAACTAGCCTCATTAAGCCTCGTTTAGTTTGTTTTTCATGCGATTGCCTATCCTACTTCGAGGAGGAAGATTCGTAGAATTTGAGTACGAAAGAAGTGGAAGAAGCTAATTTAGATATTTATAAGTACTGTATATTTATGCAGACGTGAACGGATGAAGGGGATGAAGATTCGATTGTACTCAGAAACGTTCACGCTTCGGTTAAATGCGGCATAAATTAGAAATTGCATTAGTGGTAAGGCTCTTCCGAGTTTCATGGATAAAAGAGAACGAGCAATGTCCACTCTTACACCAACTTCTTTCTATGCACAAGTATCAGTCACAATGCGAAAACGTTCTTCGGGGAGTAATCGAAATGGATCGATCTAGGAAGGGGAGATTTCGGAATAGTATTATGTATCTGTACCATCGTGTTGTCCATACCATACGTACAATGAAACGGAGCAACGTATTCCGCGAAGTGTAGCTACCGTGGTCGCAATGAAAATGGCGAGGAAGAACGAGGCGGTCTGATATGAAAAAATGACCGCCTACGAGTACCTATTTAGCGTATTGTTAAGGAACGCAGCGAACCGTAGCTCCTTCGGGAACACTCGGCGTGTTCATTCTTGCCGAAGACAGAAAGGACATTGCGACCGGCATTTTAGGTACTTTGTGTCCAATAAGTTCGCCAAGGAAGGAGCAATTACCGTTCTCGGCCTGTAAATGCATGAAAATTATGGGAACCCCTTTCCAAGCGAGCGTTGTCGCTCTGCTCTTTTATTCCATTGCACGCACGCGCATTGAAAATTAACGACAAATTTTACTATATAATTATTGAATTGTGATTCTTTTGATAATTTAAAGTGATAATCGTCAAGATTTCATGCCGGTTACACGTCGTTTTATTTTAATTCATAGAGTATGCATCGAAAGAGAATGTACATACGTATACATACACATTATCTACGTCAGGTAGGAGTTTAGTAACCAGGCGAAATCGGCAGATAATAGGATTTACGAATTTATTGAATTAGAATAAGTAAGTTTGAATTATAGAACATTAATCGGTACAATTAGGCAGATTGTAAAGATAGCATTATAGGAAAAATCAGCTTACAGGATTTTTAAGAATCATTTATATTGAATCACCATTGGAAAAAATGAGGGAATTCAAATTAAAATTGGAAAAAGATTTGGAGGTGTTTGCCTGTCGCCAAGGATTGTGCATTCAAATCCATTCTAGCTGCGGGTAGGGCTTCCTCATGCGAACACGAATTGTCTCAAAGGGAACATTCAACTGTTTGCGGTTACGCTCCTCTTCCCCTTTTCGGGTCTTTTATATTAGAGAGTGATCAGCTGCGTCTGTCAGGTGTTTCAGTAAAGAAACGGATACAAATTTTTCTCCCTTATTTCCTCGAATGGATAGCCTAGTGGTCTTTCTGCTACTCGTTCTTAATTCGCCTTCGCAACGCTAGAGAACACGTGTGAAATACCGCTTAAATCTTCTAATAACTTTTTTGTTGCACCCATTATCTGGGACGAATGATTTTCGAACTTATTCCTTGCTAAATTTCGGTTTTTGTACGTATAAAATTTATCATTGCCAACCTTGGATCGAAGTCTTCTTGTAGTTTAGACTCGAAAGAGCCGAGTATCGAATGACCGCAGTATTAATTTGCAATTGCTTAGTGGATGTCTGCGAGTAGTTGTACGGTTTCGCGAATCGCCGTGTGTATGACGCTTCGCGATGGCAAAGGCAATATCATTCTTCACTTAGGCGAGGCACACATGAATGGCGTATTACCAGGCGCGAACGGTAGTGACACCTGAGCAGAATAATAATCGTATACAAACGGCAGTTTAGTTTATAGTTTGTTGAGTACCTGCGGCGTAACCATTCGTTCTTTTTCTCGTTCATCCGTGTTTATTATGCAGTAAAAAGATTAATGCATCGCATCTCCGAGCGAGACGACACGACGTCCAGACAGAAGTTGCTGTCAAGAATCGACCCACGAAAAGAAGAGTACGAGTTCACTCTGATACAAAAATAACTACTCTCTTATCTACATGACTACTACGTTTTGCATAATAAAATTTTATTTGTCTATACATATTTTGAAGTATGCATGCAAATTGCACTTGATAAGTGATTGTAAAACGGATGACAATGATAAAATTAAGTCATAGTAGAAACGTATTTTTTCAGGGTAACAAAATACAGTATCGCCTATTGATAAAAATATGAAGTTACTCGTCAGGCGTAAAAAGAAAATAAACTCGTTTTGTAAAAGTAATAGGTCGAGTCTATCGTTAAGCAACACGGTTAGTAGGAAAATGAAGACGACTGCGAAGGCATAAAGGGTTTTAAACACATTGTTAAAACATTACTTAGTGTAACTTTTATGCATTCGAAAAGAAAGAGACACGCCCCCGCTTCTTGACCCAGGTCTCTTAGAACCACGTAGACCCATTCGAAATCGAATTTTATATGGAGATTGCCGTTGTTCCCGAGAGCACTAAAGAGTTAAGGGCCTCTTAAAATGACTGTCGTTTGTTCGTAAGAGAGGCAGCAGCCACTAGCTGCCTTCCTCCGCTACGCGCTGGTCCTTTCCGTGACGCGGGCAGCTGGCGTTATTATTATTACAAAGACGAGTCCGCGGTATAAATAAATCGTAAATCAACCAGCGTCATAAACGTCGAAATGCTTCGAGACAGTTCGGAGCGTGCGATCACCGCACAATGGCGCCGCAATTTTGCAATTTGAACGCTTATAACCATTGCCTCAACTCCAAACTCTTCGCGTACGCCCATCGTGTTTATTCGCCCGCGAACGAATCCACGAATCAAATTTCTTCTTTTCCTCCTTTCAACTCTTCATTCCTCGCCTCCTCTTTTTGGCGTAAGTGTGCTCGCTCGCGAAAGAATACGTGATTCGGGTGTGAAGAATTGATTTCGAGGATTTGGCTCGCATCGTCTTAAACTTACGACCGGGCGACATCGGTCTGAATTCGTTTTCGCCCTTTTATAATTGAATCGACGAAAAGTCGCGGCTGAAGATTTATTTCGACGATTTATCAATGCGTCTAAGAGACAGAAAGGCGGTACGTAGGTATTGAGTCAATTATTGTAACGTAATCCCTATGAATCTCTGTATCATTATTTACTGAACACTAGCTCTTGCAAGTAGTAATTCATCGATTGTTTCCAATGTTCGAAACGTTGTATGTTTCGTTCAATTTCTTTCCATACAATGCAATAATATCATGTAAGGATGACTTCCGTTCGAATAATTCAACTAATTTTTTCTCGACACATTAAAATAGTGTCAAATACGTTTAATAAAAATTTACTTGATACACTCATGATGTACTAATTACATCTTCGATGTATTCATTTTCGTCAATCGTAAATGATCGTTTCATTCCATTAATCAAACTGGAACCATGTGCGAAAGCCTTTAAAGCGAATCCTGGAGGGTCTCATAATATACATATACCAAAACTAAAGTATTCGTCGCACCCAGTCCCATTTTTTACGAATTCCTCCTTGAGCGATGTTATTAAAGGATAAATGTTTCCCTGGCACTCGGCGAATGACGCAACATGATAAAGAGGAACTAATTACAAGCGAAGCCGGGGATAAGGTGGTAGGTGGTTCGGGTATCCAACTTTCAAAATAAGAGCACATCCGCTCGAGGGTGCAATTAATCACGCCGGAAAGAGAGCTGCCTTCCGGGGTTTTATTAACCAATTACCCGGGACGCGGTACATTTGATGTTCCGAATAAATAGCCGGCAAATAGCGCCAGCGAATTCATTAGTGGATCATTGGTCCTATGAATACCACTTTTCCACCGAGAAGTCGTAATTTCACAAAACTTTTTAACTACTTTTTTTTTAAGCAACCATTAACGACTTCAGGATATCGTGATAAATTAAACGTTGTTTATTGCCATAATAATTTATGAAGCCTACACGAGAAGTTTGATGATTCTTCATCGTTATTAAAAATGTTCGTGTCATTATCGATTATCCATTCATGCGACAGACGCTGGTTCTTTTGGCACAATTCCATCGCTATAACGTTTCGAGTTTGATAAGCCAATCTCAACCGCACGTTGTAAAGATCGGGTTTAGTTACACCGTCCGTCGACGTAAAAATTTATTTACCCGATAGTCGGTATACTTTTGACGAGCGTAGTAGATTGCCGTCCGGCATGCAACGCGGTTACAAACTCAAACGGCATAGGTAATAAGCCGAGCCGTACGTTTCCCGAATCTAGCCAAAAATCTATGAAATCCAAATAGGGAAAAGAAACGTTGGACTAGAGGACAAGAAGATTCGCAAATCACTTTCATACAAATGTATGAACAGCCGGGGACTGGAAATCGTGATTCCGTGAGAGTGCGGCGCGCGAGGAGCTTTGCATTGTGCTAGGAGCCGCGAGGAGGGTCGAAAAAGAAAGAAGACGTCAAGGAGGATGCGGCGACGATATAGAGAATAGCGTATTGCAGTTTAGAGGAGCGCAGTGTGCGGTTTAGTAACGCGCAGCAGCGATCGTAGCGTGTGGCGTGCATACCACCGTGGTTGTATGTCTCGTCTTGAGCCTGGTCTCTCTCTCCCACGCATCTGCCAGTCTCGCTCTCTCGTACTAGCGGCGGCACCCTTTGATCTTTCTGGCCACGCCCCCTTTTTTCATTTTTTCACTCCTTAAAAGGCAGATGGACAAAGTGTATTGTAAAGTGGGCAGCGCGCCCAGGAAGACAGTCAGAAGAGAAAGAGCGAGCAAGAGATGAAACATACGGAAGGATAGATCTCGAAGAGCAAGGAGAGATGAAGAGGACGTTGCGGCATAGAGGAGATGAGAGAGAAAGGATGACTAGAAGGGGTAAAGGAGAGAGGGACGCTGTAGGTGAGGCTGCTGGCTCTCCGTGTCCAGTTACAATTATTAAGGATTCTCCGCTGGCCTGCCATGGGAGAGAGGAGGATGCTTCGGGAGGAAGAGGCAAGAATCGGGCGAATGCTTCGCTAATTATCCGATCCCCGCGTCTTGGGGCTAATGGGCCGTGGAAGAAGAACAGAGAAAAGTCGGGAACTTGAGCGAGACAGCCAAAGACCGGTAATATCCAATTGATCATCCGACAAATCTTACTGATGAACGAGGAACTTCCTATCTCATTCTGCTCGTTCTATGCGAAATCTGCTACTTCTATTGGCTGCTGATATTATTCGGCTGACTCGCGTTGAGTCTGACAATGATCACCTTTGCGTATTTTATTGGTGCACCGTCAATGATTCATCGACTCCGCGAGAAGAATCGAAATTGACGAATGGAAATTGAACTGAAAATGATATTACTACCTGTAGTATGATGCGAAACAATATTCTATTGTGCCATAGTAAAAGAATTGCAGACAACCTTTGTCTCGTAAAAGAGGGACTTTTTAAAGTCTGATGCGATTAATCCATTTCACGGTTCGGCCGAGAAACTATTCAAATTTCCGGCGAATCACGGTGGTCTTTTACCTCGAGGCTCTGATTCATCCAACAACACCAAAATCCCTGGGCTAACATTCAAGCTGACGTCTCGTAGGTGACTGACCGTCAAACTAATTTTCTTCTTTTTCTTTCTCGTTTCATGTGGAACAGCAACATCTTTCTTATTTTACCTCCACGTGTAATTGGTGCTATCTTTATCGGTTACTGACATCTGGTTTCGTAGCGAATTCCTACCTCTGTCCGTGAAAATGATATCTTAATTGGAGCTGATGATATCGCGAAAGAGCGAAGGTAGAGTGATTCATAAATCCATTCTGTTCGTACGCTTTCAGGAAAAGTTTTCGCGTGTTGGGCATAGCTACGATGAAGAAAAACTTTCGTGGATAAGTGAATCTGCAGACTCGCCTGGGGTAGATGGAAACACGAGGGTAACTATGGAAATTATTAAATATCTGGACTGCAGAAAGCGATTGATCAAACTCGGTTTCCAACGAACGACTTCCAAATATCTGCATACGTACACGTACTTTAAACCTATCCGCGATTTTGAAGTAGCAGCAAACATATGCGTTTAGATTTCAGTACTTTCTACACGGTACATGGTAATTGCCACGTAATGAACCAGCGATATTGACGAGTAATACGTATAATAAAACAGTCATGTGATTCGAGTGCTCATGAACCGGTCAGCGTTTCCGCGTTTTCGTTTAGCCATTCGAGGATAATTGTTTCATAATAGTTACGAAAGACGACGCAGTAGAGTAATGCATGGTTTCAGTTAGCTATGATCGTTGGGGTTTATCGCGTAAATGGTCTCGGCATATGATTTCGTGGCCTTTCCGCTTCGACTCGAGTGCACCTATGGAAAATCATCGTTCATCGAGCTTCCACTCGATCGTATCTATAAGCGGTTGCCACCCCTCACAGTTATGCGAACCATTACTTTGACCGAGCACGATCGTATTATAGGTATAGTTCAATAACACGACAGATTAAGCCCTCTTCCGTGATTTTTACCGCGGGACGTTACAGGCAATTGCAAGTATTCGAGTAATCATCACGGACGCATTACGTTGATCGCGTCGAGCGTGCCATAATATCGGGTAAAATGCTGCTCGTTCAAAGATTCAACTGGCTCACAAAGGCGCATATGGCGAAGGTAATTTTCGGTCCGTACCGAATGCAAATGGAGTGTCAACGAGTTCATTATGGAGGAACGTTTATCCCCGTGGCCTCTCATGCGACGAGTAGTCGATCGTGTGGCCCGAGCCAATAACTCGTCTCGATTTTCCCCGGTAATAGCTGATGACGTAACGCGCGTCACAACCTGAAGAGCATTCTCTTGCGACTTTCTTCCTCTTTCTTTTTCTCTCCGTCTCTCTTTCTATCTCGAAGGCTCGTCATCCGCCATCTTACGAGAACGCCGAAGGATGTGGTTATTAAAATTACAGGGAAGGGCATATACGTACGTACACAGACCGGACTTCCT